AGAGACATAGGCAGAGGGAGAAACAGGCTCCATGCACCAGGAGCCCGACGTGGGATTCGATCCCGGGTCTCCAGGATCGTGCCCTGGGCCAAAGGCAGGCGCTAAACTGCTGCGCCACCCAGGGATCCCCAAATAATCATCTTTAATTTGGTACCAGTAATTTTTTTTCCATTTCTTTTCCCACAAACGATGGGCATAATTCTTTCATACCAACACCCCTAGCTAAATTCCAGAGCACTTCTGCTCTAGGTCCTGTGCTAGGCACTCCTGGGCTAGCAGCTGATTTCATCCAAAAGTAACCCTAGGAAGAAGGTGCTATGAGTACTTCATTGTACAGGTGGAGAAATAGGGACTTAGGACACAGGATTTGCCCAGGTGTCAATAAGAATCACATGGGCACAAGTTGACTCTTGTCCCATGGTAACCAAAGGGTTAGGCTGCCTCTACTTGGACTATGGAAATGACTCTTAGGCTTTAGTTTTCACGAGGATCACATTGATGGGGGAGTTTGTTAAATATTGGATTCCAAGGTTCCACTTTTGGAGGTTTTTATTCCATAAGTGCCACAGTAACTTGCTTTTAAAATAAACATCTCAGGTTTTGGTGGTGGTTGGGAACCCTGCACTCGGGTCATAGCCTACATCTATCATTACACTAGTTCTTTTCTTTCAGACTGTTTTCATAAAAGGCTGTTGGGCACCTGATTTCATTCAACAGGCACATATTAAACGTATGCTAACATCATGGTAAATTACTTCAAGATTCAGCTTTCATCTTTACCATATTTTCCTTTTCATATCTTACATCCGTGTATGGGGATGGGGACAGGGAGTGATTTGAGGACTACTGAGCACTTCTCAAATGCTATCTCCTTCCTTTGGGGAAGTCTAATTAATGCCTTATAATAAATGCATCTTTGATGCCAAAGAGGTTCAACGTTCAGGGGAGAGCATTCTTCAGACAACTGGGCAATTTAGCACAGAAACATCAAAATCTTAATTATTATTTTTCACAGAAGACTTTCTGAAGTGTACTATATATTTTATGTCCTAAAAGTAGAACAGACTGATAATTCCAGGTCATTCTTATAACCTTCAATTATTGCATTGTCCTCTTATACAGTGAGAGCCTTGGGGTCTGCTGAGGGGCATGGGATTTAGTTTGCCAAGTCACTAAATATTTCTGGAGCACTTTACTGCTGTGATTTATTCATCTTATACTTATTGCCCTAATGTCATGTGCTAGGAAATGCAGAGCAACTACCTGAGGGGAAGGAAGACCATGCGCCTGAATTACATTTACAATGCTCACCAAGCATAAAGACATTAGTAGCTGATCAAACATAATTAGGCATTCACAGCACTAACCTATAATAATGGTCACAACTGGTATGTGGTTAGAGAGTCACTCTTACACAGCTTCTGTGTGTGGAAGAGCAATGCAAACTTAGGTCTGTGTGACCCGTCCTGGGGTTCCCACCTGGAACACAGGAGGAGCTGGCACTCTGAGACCGAATGGCTGCTAGAGCAGGAGTTATTATGGAACTAAGGAGGATGAATATTTCCTTGTCTGGGGGGAATCACAGATCTTTTAGGAAGCAGGTTCTTCTGAACAATTCTCAGAACGTTTATAATAGTTCACAGTAGGTCATGAGTCACAGCAATAGCAGCTAATGTTGACAGAGTGCTCACCATGTGCTCTGTCCTATTCTGAGTATTTTAATTTAATTCTCATGACCGCTCTATGAAATGGAGTCATTGAGTTAAGTTTACCCAAGATTGGGACACTTGGGTGGCTCAGTGGTTGAGCGCCTGCCTTCAGCTCAGGTCGTGATCCTAGGGTTCTGGTTTCAAATCCTGCCTCAGGCTCCTGGCCAGGAGTCTGCTTCTCCCTCTGCCTGTGTCTCTGCCCCTCCCCCTCTGTCTCTCATGATTAAATTAATAAAATCTTAAACAAAAATTTGCCCAAGATTATGCAACTAGTTCCAGGATGTGGTCCAAGCTGCCTGACTTTAGAACTTTGTTCATAACCATTATGCTAAATGCCACTTATCATCGAGGGCCATTACCCCAAGGGAACTGTAGCAGCCAGGACCCCTAGGAAACCTTACACCATGTCCACTCACCAAGATTCCTCATCCTGGGAACATAGAGGAAATTGGGATATCTATTCTGGTGTTCCCCTGTAACAAATCCTTCTAAAGTCTGGTCATAAACTAAGACCTCCTCAGGAGGAGTCTGAAATCTGTATGTGTGGATTTCTTCCTTCTCCCTAATCTGGATTTTGGGGCAAAAGAGAAGGGCACACCATATTTCTAATGTAATCATTTCTTCCCTAGAGGTCATAAAGGTATATAGAAATGTTTGCTTTTGAAATGATCCCAAACTGCCTTACGATTTTTTTTAAAGGTTTTACTTATTTATTCATGAAAGGTACAGAGAGAGAGGCAGAGACATAGGTAGAGGTTGAAGCAGGCTCCCTGTGGGGAGCCTGATGCAGGACTCAATCCCAGAACCCCGGGATCATGCCCGGAGCTAAAGGCAGATGCTCAACCACTGAGCCACCCAGGGGCCCCTATCTTGCAATTCTATTTTATGTTTGCCCAGTCTCTTTCTTTGGAACCAACTGTTCCAGATTCCACTTTATCCTGCCAAAAGGATCCTCATTTCTCAGTTCTTGACTGATCTTTTGCAGTAGCATCTCTGAGTCAAAGCCTAAGTGGAACTGAGGGTAAGCCAGCCAAAACCTGGTAAGACACTACATTCCAAAAACATCAATCTTTTCACACTTCTAACACATTTCCCCATAGAAATATTGTTATAAGAGGTGGTTCTATATTTCGTTGGTACTGTCCCACTGTGTATTTGGCCACCAGACTAGTTGCAAGTCTGAAGCCCCACCACCATTGACACCATTGCTTCTTTGCAAAATTATGCATCAAAGTCTCACTTGATTCCCAAAACATTTTTAAAAATAGGATATTTTATTAATTTGAGATTACATTTATAAGATTTATATTTAATTTTTTTTATTGGCCCAGGTTTACAAGCTTTATTCTTCACACTCTTCCTTAAAAGTTTTTTCAATTTCTTAATGAAGTTTCAAAACTTCACTTACTCAACTGCTTTTTTTTTTTATTTATTTTTTATTGGTGGTCTTTTTTTTTTTAAAGATTTTTTTAAAATTTTTATTTATTTATGATAGTCACACACACAGAGAGAGAGAGAGAGAGGGGCAGAGACACAGGCAGAGGGAGAAGCAGGCTCCATGCACCGGAAGCCCGACGTGGGATTTGATCCCGGGTCTCCAGGATCACGCCCTGGGCCAAAGGCAGGCCCCAAACCGCTGTGCTACCCAGGGATCCCTACTCAATTGCTTTTAAAGCGACTTATAAGTGACAGAAGAAGAGTAGCTATAGGGCATTTTTTTATACATTTTTTTTCATTTTATTTATGATAGTCACATCACAGAGAGAGAGAGAGAGGGGGGGGCAGAGACACAGGCAGAGGGAGAAGCAGGCTCCATGCACTGGGAGCCCGACGTGGGATTCGATCCCGGGTCTCCAGGATCGCGCCCTGGGCCAAAGGCAGGCGCCAAACCGCTGCGCCACCCAGGGATCCCCTGTAGGGCATATTAATAATCATCATTTGATCCCAAAAGATGGAGATGTGCTAATCATGAGCATAGCTGCCCCTTCTACAATAAGAGGTTTGAACTGTGTGGGTTCACTTATACATGGATTTTTCTCAGTAAATACCATACAGTACTGTAAATGTATTTTCTTTTCCTTATGGTTTTCTTAGTAACGTTTTCTTTTCTCTAGTTTACTTTATTGTAAGAATATGGCATATAATACATATAACATACAAAATACATGTTAAACACGACTTATATTAACAATAGGGCTTCCAGCCAACAGAAAGCTATTAGTTTTTTTTTGGGGGGGAGTCAAAAGTTATATGGCGATTTTTGAATATGTAGGGGATCAGCGCCTCTAACCCCTGAGATGTTCAAAGGCCAACTGTACATTTTAAAAAATGTGCTGTTGGAGTCAAAAGCACTTCCAAAAGGAATTTCTAAACTCCCTTTGTGGTTATAGCCTTAGTATAATGAGATATATGGATTATTATTGTGGTGACTGTTTTGAAGTATAAAAATATTTCTTTGGATGTATAATTGCTGCTCTATTCCTTAAAAACAAATCTGTCACGTTTCTTTAGACTCTCACTTCCTTTAAGTTACTGAATTACAGACCACTCCTGATTCAAATGACCTGTAATTCAATGACAAAATTCAAAAGCTTGTGTTTTTTTTAATGACACATAAACCTTATGTGATCATTGAACTTGAATCAGACAGGCATGAAAAATCTTCAATAACAGCAGCATTTATATTAATAAGTAAGAAGACCTGACACCTACCTAGTGATTTATACCTTTCTTTAAAAAAAAAATATTTATTGGGATCCCTGAGTGGTGCAGCGGTTTAGCGCCTGCCTTTGGCCCAGGGCGCGATCCTGGAGACCCGGGATCGAGTCCCACGTCGGGCTCCTGGTGCATGGGGCCTGCTTCTCCCTCTGCCTGTGTCTCTGCCTCTCTCTCTCTCTGTGTAACTATCAAAAATAAAAAAAAATATTTATTTAATTGACAGAGAGGGAGAGAGAGAGAGCAAGACAGAGCGAGTGCCCAAAAAGAGGGACTGGCAGGCAGAGGGAGAAGGAGAGAAGCAAACCCCCTGCTGAACAGGGAGCCCTATGTGGGGCTTGATCCCAGTATCCTGTGACCATGATGTCAGCCAAAGGCAGATGCTTAACCAGCTGAGCCACCTAGGCACCCCCCGCACCCACTTTATACCTTTCAAAGTTATTTTGTACATATTATTTCTGAGGGTGAACATGGAGTTGTCTATAATCATTAGCAATTATTTCCAATTACAAATGAATGGCTTTCTTGTAGAAGAACTCAGAAAAGTAGACATAGTCTCAGGTAGAAATGACTCACCAGGAAAGGACTCCAAAGGCAAATGGGGATTCAGGAAATGTCCAGTGCAAACCATGACAGCATCAAAGACGGCACGCTCCTGTTTCCCCTCTGTCTCTGTGACCACATCCCACTGGCCAGATTCAGAGAAGTCTGGTCGCTTCGTTACACTGCACACCGTGGTCTGAAATAGGCAGAAAAACACTCACTTTCTATCAATCACCTTGAGACTTCATGTAACAGCTGGTTTGGTAACCATGTTTGTTATTTCATATGCGTCAAATCAGTCTCAGGTTAAAGGGTCTGTCAATATTGGTTTATCTCCTCCCTAAAGAAATTAAGTAACTGGTGCAAAGACTTAAAAGTGGTTATATAGAGTAGGACCCAAAATATCTGCAAGCCTTCACTGGAAGAAAGAAACATTCGGTCTTTATTCCCAGTTAGAAGTGGTGAGTTATAATACTGAATGCATTGGGAAAATGCAGGAAGGGAATTTTGGCTCATTATAATTTCTGTGATTCAGATTCCTAGCCATTGCTTCCCCACAGGTTTCATGAACAAAATTCATTTTTCCTTTCCTCTCAAAAAAAAAAAATTCTAAATTTCTTCCTGAATAAGAATTTGGATTCAGAAGAGGAATCAGGAAAGCCTATTTTTTTTAAAAAAAGATTTTATTTATTCATGAGAACAGGAAGAGAGGCAGAGACGTAGGCAGAGGGAAAAGTAGGCTCCCTATAGGGAGCCCCATGTGGGACTCGATCCCAGGACCCAGGATCACGACCTGAGTAAAAGGCAGATGCTCAATGATTGAGCCACCCAGGTGCACCAGGAAAGTCTAATTTAATGATTTTTTTGAATAAACCATGAGAGATGGAAGAAGTGAAGAATCTTTATTACCTACTTTATTTATATAGAGATAAAATTAGGAATAAATTTACTTAGGATCCCCTTTCCATTAGATTGGATGGGCAGACCCATTCATTAACCTTCCATAACCCAAGTTATCTTACCCTAAATCGAATGTATTTCAGAAGGTCAAAATGCTCAGCAAATTCTTGCAGATAGTACCAAAATTTTCCTTGGTTCATGAAATTGGGATAATCTTCTTGGAAGGGGAAGTCACTATAGCATGACATTTCTTTGCAGACATTTGTCACTAATGACTTGTAGACCCTGGTCATCCCATCTTTAGACATCTCCTGTGGTGAAACATAGTTTGCTTGATGGGGTGGGGAGGCAGGAAGAAAAGAGATCATTAGCAGTCAGTGTTCCACTTCTAATTCCAAAGAGTTCCATGAAAATGTAGTATTGGATCTACAGTTATCAGAAATCATTGGCGGGATTAGAATGATTAAACACCATATCTTTCTCAAACTACAAAGAAGTTAACGCAATTTAGCAGGACTCTCTAAGACTAACATTGCCATTCAGTGATTCCATGGACATGGGGCCTATGGTCTAACTCGTTTATTTTTCTCTTCTTTCTTTGCGGTCATCAATCCCTCCACTCATGAAGATCTCTTTCTCTTGTCTTTGTTCACAGAAGTCCTCACTGATTTTTGTGTTTATTGTCTAGGTATATTTCCCTTTTCTCTTTCTTTGTTTTAGATTTATTTATTTATTTTAGAGAGAAAGCACGCACGCAAGCGAGGGGAGGTGCATTAGGAGTGGGAGGGAGAGTATTTCAAGCAGACTCTGAGCTGACCATGGAACCCAATGCAAGGCTTGGTCCCATGACCCTGAGATCAGGACCTGAGCTGAAATGAAGAGTTGGATGCTTAAACGACTGAGCCACCCAGGTGCCCTACTACTATATTTTCAATCACTTTCTCTTTATTGGCTCCTTCCCATCAGGAATTAAAATATTGAAGATAATTTTAAAAGCCAAACAAAACTCCCTTTCAACCCATATCCCTTCTAGCCTTGTCTTTCTTTGTCCTAGTTCAACTGTATGAAAAATCACATACTGGTAGCCTCTGTTTTCTCACTGGACTCCTAACTCACTGTTGTCTCAATGTTGCACACTAAAAACATAGCAAAGAAACAAGAGCATGCATATTAAAGGCACCAATAAACTCTGGTAGCCGAAGCTAATTTCTACTTCTTTTTTAAAAAAGTGTCTTTCTTAGCTGTTCTTAGCTGTTGCCTTCCCTGAGGCAGCTGCTGTGCTTTCTCAGTGTCCTGCTTTTCTAACATAGAACCATTCACACTGCAGTGTAATGTCTTTACGGTCTTTATCACCAGACTGTAAGGAGGGCAGGGTCCCTGTACATCTTGTCCCCTCCTGGTAGAGAGACATTATACATACTGGTACTTGTTCAAATAAGGGAAAATTAATACTATTACTGCATTAAAAATTATTTATTCATGAGAGACACACACACAGAGAGAGAGAGAGAGAGAGAGAGAGAGGCAGAGACATAAGCAGAGACATAGGCAGAGGGAGAAGCAGGCTCCATGCAGGGAGCCTGATGTGAGACTCGATCCCAGGATCCTGGGATCATGCCCTGAACCAAAGGCAGATGCTCAACTGCTGAGCCAGCCAGGTGTCCCTATACTGCATTTTTGAGAAATAAATAGTATATAGATGTTGAGAGAAACTACATCAACATTTATTATTATTATCATTCTGAATATAGTTGACACAGTGTCACATTAGTTTCAGATGTACAACATATATAAAGATTTTAATAGTGAGGACCCATGGATATTGATATTATATTTAATTTGTATTTTTCCTTTTGTTTAGTGCAATTATTATTTTCTTTTTTATTATATTTTAAAGATTTATTCATTTATTTTAGAGAGAGAGTGAACTTGTGTGAATGAGGAAAGGGACAGAGAGAGAATCTTTTTTTTTTTTTTTAAGATTTTATTTATTTATTCACGAGGGACACACACACACACACAGAGAGGCAGAGGGAGAAGCAGGCTCCATGCAGGGAGCTTGATGTGGGACTCGATTCCCCGACTCCAGGATTACGCCCTGGGGAAGGCAGGCGCTAAACCGCTGAGCCATCCAGGTGTCCCAGAGTGAAGGAATCTATAAGCAGACTCCTCAATGAACCTGGAGTCTGATGCAGGGCTCCATCTCATGGCCCATGGGATCACAACCTGAACTGAAACCAAGAGTCCATTGCTCAACTGATTGAGCCAGCTGGGTGCCTCCCTTTATACTTTTGAGAGAGAGAGAGAGAGAGAGAGAGAGAGAGAGAGAGAGAGAATGTGTGTCTCCATGAGCGTTTGTACTTGCTGACACCAGTGGGAGGGCAAAGGGAGAGGAAGAGAAAGAATCTTAAGCAGGCTCCATCCCTACATTGGGCTTGATTTCATGATGCTAAGATCATGATCTGAGCTGAAATTGAGAGTCAGATGCTTAACCAACTGAGCTGCCCAAACATCCTATTTTCTTTCTTTTTTTTTTTTTAACTCAATATTATTTTCTAAAATTTATCTATATTACTTTAGCATGGGAGAAAAAAACCAAATCAACTGTGGGGCCAAATAGCAGAAGGTACACAAACCAGACCCAATGTTTTCTTTCCACATTGACATTTGGTGGCTGAATCAGGCTTACAGTACAACAGAAGAAACTACCCCCCACCCCCATACTATAATCCTAATCCTATAATACTATAATCCCAGGGCTGTGATCATATCTGCTTACATACATTTGCTTATTCTGTTTTCTTCACCATCTATCAAAAACTGGCAAATGCCACTTTCTCCATGAAGGCTTCCCTCATTCATACCAGTTTGAAGTACTCTTCTAGCATGAACTCCGCTGAATGTTGCTTTTCTCTTACCCCTGACGCATCCAGTACTTAGACTTCCTACCTTCTGATACTTTACACCCCACCACTGGGACAGATCCCTAGGTCCCTGCTGGACAGCCTGCTATTCCCAGTTACCAGGACCAATCCTAGCCAGCAGGTGGTATTTAGCCACTCCCAGTCCTTACTTCTGTTGCTTAAGTCACCCAAGAGCTGGCCTAGCTCCAAGAATAACCTCCCAGGAGGTACACTGCACTCCTTCAAAGGATTGATCAGTGCCTTGGCTCTTTTTATTTTGATAATGTGAGGGTTATCCAACCCCCCACCTGACCTTTCAGGGTCTGGTTTCTTGCTTCACTCCTGCCAATTCTCCTCTCAAAGACTTGAATAAATGCCTGGGGGCTGGAGCTCTGCTCCTAATGCCAACTTCCATCTTTCCAAAAGTGTCATCTGCTTCATACTCACCAGTGCCATTTGGCTTAACCTATGTGACATTGTTAGTCTCCTAATGTCCGTGGTCTAGAAATAATTGTAACTTCCAATACTGTGTTTGTGTATCAGACTTATCTCTTCCCCTTTCCCACTGTCCCTGCCCTGCCTACTCTCCAGGTTTATCACCTGTCACACTGCATCCTGCACAGTGTTAGCACTGTACACAAGCCTGTGTTGTTGAAGTGAACTGCTTTTTTATGTGATCAACAAGGTAGGCTGAAGCCACCATGCCTGAGCAGGGACAAAGCAGACAGCCAGATTACGATGGATAGAAATGGGAAGTAACAAGTTACCCACAGTAAACTTCCATAGTCCCCCAATGTCGTTACTTCTTTCAAAGCAGGTGGGCTCCAGGTCCTCGTCCAAGCAGCACTTGATGGAGGACAGGCCACTCACACCAGCTCCAATCACAGCAACTCGCCTGGCCATGGCACTCTGTTAGAGAGGAAGGTTGGGCTAAGCTTCTTTATATGACAAGACTAGAAGGAACCTTCTGTTATAGAACTTAACTTTTAGAGTGGTATAAACACCCTCTTTTAGCTGAGGCAGATTCACATTTTGGTTAAAAATGAGGGCTCTGAAATCAGACTGTTTTAAGTCTTACCATCACTTATTAATAGTGTGACCTCAGGCTAGCTGCTTATCATCTCTGGGCCTTGGTTTTCATTTTAGTACAATGGGAATGGAAATAATAATAATATCTCTTAAATATTTGTCACAAAATTAAATGATTGATATGTTGGAAGGATTATAGAAGTGTGTCTCCTACATAGTAAGTGCTCACTTAAATTTAGTTCTACTGTAGTCAGGCCCTTGATCCCCTTGAGATTTTGTTTACTTTAAAATGTTTTTTTTTTTTAATTTTTATTATTACTTTTTAAGTAGGCTTCATGCCCAACGTGGGGCTTGAACTCATGATCCTGAGATTAAGAGTCACATGCTCTACTGACTGAGCAAGCTAGGTGCCCCTTGGGACTTTAGATACCCTAGGAATAAAAGAGCCCTTTGCTGCCACCTAGTGCTTCTGGACCCTAAGAACCGCAGGAGCAAAAATGTTAGTTCCTATTCAAAGCCTCTAGTGTCTTTTGAAGAATAGTTGGTCATGGGTCATCTCCTGCCATGCAACAAAGATATTACATGAATTAAGGGCGGTTCTTAATCTTGCATCGAGGCAAGATAGACTGACCATAATATAGAACAAAGTCCCCAAGGAAAGTTCCATGGAACATTCTAGATGAGATCTTATGGAAATGGGGATGCCTGTATTTGTCAGTAGAGCCTGGAAGAAGTACATGTCACAGGGATTTATAACCAGTTTTTCCTGATATTACAGTTTGGATTTCTGCAAACATCAACATAGCTATTGTATTGACAGATGGATTAACTACTCAATTCTAGCAAATCAGCTATGTTGAAGAATTGTTTGAGTTTTAGATGAAGTGACATTACTTATACAAAAGTGCCCAGCACCAAATACTTCTCAGTGTTCATTCCCTACCTCCCTAATTTTCTCCTCTCTTTTCCTCCCTTTCCCTAGAAAAGACAGCTCAAGCAAAAACAAACTGGGAATTCATGCCTCTTAAAATCACATAACATTTCCACATTATAAATTTCTGAGCCAGGGCAGCCATTTAAAAAATATGCTTCCAATCACTGAGGAAAGTCAGTGAGCAAATTGGAAATGGGAAGACCTGGGTTCTAGTTCCACCTCTGCTTCTAACCGGCTGTATAAATTTAAACAAAATTCTTCATTTCCCTGTGAGATTGTTCCCACATTTGTAAAGCAGAGGTTTCTAATAGTTTTCTCTTTTCCCCTTCCAGCCCAAGAAAATGGTTTTTATGTCCGAATGGCAAGTATTTGGTACCAAAATAGGTGTGAATTGAAAGGTAGGAGAGAGAGTGCAGACTTGAGGGGCCGGGAGGTGGGGACACAAAGTGCATGTAAGCTCTTTGTAAACTAGAAAGGGTGCTAGGCCCTCTGTAGACCAAACGTTGCTTATAATAAGTTCCTTGGTAGAGATGAGCTGAACCACTGAATTGGGACTTTTGAACGACATGACAACCCCATCCCATATCTGGCAGACCAGAAAAGGTAGGAGCTGTTTTTGAGACATGGAGAGACTTGGGTGATTTCTGAATCATGTGACTGCTCAAAATTTATTTGAGTATGGAATCTCATCTGTTTATATATACTTTTTAAGGTTAATTATTTAAAATTTTTTTATTGGAGTTCAATTTGCCAACATATATCATCTGTGTATATTTCTTATCATCACCCACCAATGCTCTTACTTTGTTAGAGTCTTTCCTACACCCTGCGGAGTGTTTTCTGTTTCCCAGTGCCTGGAGCTACTATCTCCTCCATAAGATGAAATCAGGGGTGAGAAGAGAATTACAGAAAGTGCCAGATTCTATTCTTCTGAACTGCCACCTCGCTTTCAGATGGTTTCTCCCTACAACATAACTTGGTTTCCTTGCAATGCTCTTTTGCTTTCTGACTTTGTCCTCAACTGTTATCTTAACCCTAATCAAGAGGCTCCGGAAGAAGAGATTCACAGTCATTCTTAAGGAGTGGGTTCATCAAGAAGAATATTCATCCTCTGCAAAAACAGTTTCTGGAAACATTTCCCCATTAAAAAAAAAAAAAAAAGACAACAGCAAAGAAGAGTCATCCAGAACACTTACCTCGTTGGCACAGAGAAGATACCCTGACAAATGATTTCGCAAAGCAAATACAGTGTCTGCCTCAAAAAAAAAAAATTTTTTTTTTCTAAACTCAAACGCTTTGTTCTAAGAGGAAAACAAGGGAAAGGGGACTTTGATCAAGTGGCCTCAGCGTGAGACACAGCCGTTCGCCTGCCCCATCATCCCGGTGACAGCAGAGAGCGTCCCACTCGCTGGGCGTAAAAAGTTGTGCTGCACAAGAGCTGGAAACTTCCGTGGTCTCAGGGGAGGGCTAAGTGACGAATTAGAATACGGGCTTTGGATTCGAAGCGCATCAGCGACTTCTGCCCCTTTCCCCACCCTCCTCGACGTCACAGTCCAGGCACAGCCTGAAACTTCGCGGAAGGCTTAAGCGGCTGCCCTTCTCGCGGCGGCCTGCAGAGGGCGCCAAAGCCACCGCGGCGTCGCAGCCCTTCCCGAAACGGGCGTTCTGCCGGCCAAACTCTCGCATCAGGAGTCTCTTTTTATTTTGTTTTATATTGTATTTCGTTTCATTTCATGACATTTCATTTCATTTATTCATGAGAGACACACACAGAGAGAGGCGGAGACACAGGCAGAGGGAGAAGGCGGCTCCCTGCACGGAGCCGCATGTGGGCCTCGATCCCAGAACCCCCGGGATCACGACCTGAGCCAAAGGCAAGACGCTAACCCCTGGGCCACCCGGGTGTCAGGACTCTTCTTGAGCCATCGCAGGAGTGGGCCGGAGGAGAAAGCAGTTTAGGTGACTGTCACTCATCAAGTTCTTTCATGTCTAGAGCTCTCTAAACCCAGGAATATGATTCTAAAATCCGGAATTTATAAGGGATTTAAGCAATGTCATCCTTTTAGAAAGAGTCAGCAGAAGGAGCTGGTAAAATGAGTTTGAGAAAGCCTAAAATTAGTTTTAAATATTAGCCTAGGGCACTGGAAAAAAAGAGTAATTACAGAAGCAACAATAGAATACTAAATAGGCACCATCTTTTTTTCTTTTCTTTTTTTCTTTTCTACTCTACTGAGTGGTTGGAAGGCAGCCATCATACATTCATTGAATAGTTATCGGATCCGGAGCATCAAGGCAAATGCCCACAGGGGTCAGGAAAATAAGTCAAAGGAGGAGAGGGCCCGGTACTGATTGACTGGAAAGCACATCTCTAGTCTGTTAGCTTCAGGGAAATGGTGCTATTTGAGAGCATGAGCCCAAATTGCAATTTTAGGATCTTTTCAATAGAAAATGAAAATCCAAATTTTTATATGAAATCTTCTGTTTGTAACAAATTAGTTTTTTTCTTTTGAAAAGTATTAAGCTCACAGAAAATTGGAAAGGACAGTTTTGTTAACAAACATCAGTGTATCCCTCAGCCATTAACCTCTTGGTACATTTTTCTTTCTCTCTTCACACACACACACACACACACACACACACACACACACACATCTGAGTGTAGTGTTTAGACACCAGGATGCCATCAGTATATTCCAGTATGTACCTCACAAGAATAGGGGCATTCTCCCACACAATCACATTACCATTACCACACGTAGGAAAACCGGTATAAATTCAATAATACCATCCAACATACCTGGTCTACTTTCAGATTTCTCCAGTTGTCTCCAAAATGTTATTATTTTTTAAAGATTTTATTTATTTATTCAAGAGAGAGGCAGGCTCCATGCAGGGAGCCCGATGTGGGACTTGATCCCAGGACTCCAGGACCATGCCCTAGGCCGAAGGCAGGCACTAAACCGCTGAGTCACCCAGGTGTCCCCAAAATGTTCTTATCCAGTGGCATACCAGAGCTGGCTTGTACAGTGAGAATGTGTGCATCTCTTCCAGTATCGCAGTAGCTTGACATTGGTCAGGGTGGGAATATTTATAACATGGAAATTGGCAATTACAGTAAGTCTGGGATCCTCACTCCCCAAGGCTAGTTTATTATTTATTTACACCCCCTTTTTTATTTAACAGCTTTATTTTTTATTTTTTTTTATTTAACAGCTTTATTGAGGTATATTTGATACACAGAAAAACCCTACATATATTTAATGAGTGTAACTTGATGAGTTTGGATGCATATAGTACACTTGTGAAACCATCACCACAATCAAGATAATAAATATACCCATCACTTTCTGTAAGTTTCCTCATGCCCTTTTGTTTGTTTTTGGTAAGAATACTTGATGTAAAATCTACTCTTTTAACAAATTTTTATGGGCACAATATGTATTTTATTTAAATGCACTATGTTGAAAGGCAGATTGCCAGAACTTATTAATCTTGCAGAACTAAAACTTCATATACATTGAATAACTCCTCATTTTCTCCTGCTCCCAGTTTCTGCTTCTTTGAGTTTAACTGTTTTAGAGAAGAATCGTACAGATTTGTCTTTTTTTTTTTTTTTTTAAATAGGCTTAAGGACCAGAGTGGAGCCCAAAGTGGGGCTTGAATGCATGACTCTGAGATCAAGACCCAAGATGAGATCGAGAGTTGGAGGCTTAACCTACTGAGCCACCCAGGCACTCGCAGATTTATCTTTTTGTGACTGGCTTATTTCACTTAGCATAATGTTGTCTCCAGATTCATCAATGTTGTCACATATGGTAGGATGTTTTCTTTTTTATTTTCTTTTTTTTTCTCTTTTCTTCTCTCTTCCTTTTTCTTTAATAATAAATTTATTTTTTATTGGTGTTCAATTTACCAACATACAGAATAACACCCAGTGCTCATCCCGTCAAGTGCCCCCCTCAGTGCCCGTCACCCATTCACCCCTTCCACCACCCCTAGTTCGTTTCCCAGAGTTAGGAGTCTTTATGTTCTGTCTCCCTTTCTGATATTTCCCACACGTTTCTTCTCCCTTCCCTTATATTCCCTTTCACTATTATTTATATTCCCATGATTCCCCAAATGAATGTGCTGAAAAATATTCCATTTTGGTAGTGTATAGCATATTTCCTTCATCCATTCATCTGTCAAGATCCCTATTTCAATTCTTTTGGATAAATATCCAGAAGTGGGATTGCTGGATCATATGGTCGTTCTACTTTTAATTTTTTAGGAACCTCCATGCTGCCCCATTTTATTTTGCCACCATCAGTGTAAAAGGATTCTATTTTCTTCACATCTTCACCAATACTTGTTACTTTTATTGTGTTTTTGATAATAGCCTTCCTAACAGGTAATATTTCATTGTTGTCTTGATTTGCATTTCGTTGATGATTAGTAATGTTGGGCATCTTTTTTAAAAAATATTTTATTTGTTTATTCATGAGAGACACAGAGAGAGAGGTAGAGACATAGGCAGAGGGAGAGGCAGGCTCCCTGTGGTGAGCCTGATGCAGGACTCAGTCCCAGAATCCCAGGATTGTGCCCTGAGCTAAAGGCAGATGCTCAACCCCTGAGTCACCCAGGTGTCCTGAGAACTTTTTAAATGTATCTGTTGGGCATTTGTACATCATTTTTAGAGAAATTTCCATTCAAGAACTTTGCCCATTTTGTAATCAGTTTATTTGGGTCTTTCTTTTCTTTTCTTTTTTCTTTTCTTTTCTTTTTTTCTTTTTGTTGTTTTCGCTATTAGGTTGTAGAAGTCTTACTTTGGATATTAACTCCTTGTTGGGTGTATGGTTTGCAAATATTTTGCAAATATTCTGTAGGTTGTCTTTTCATTCTGTTGATTGCTTTCTTTGCTGTGAAGAAGGTTTTTAGTTTGATGAAGTCCCACATGTCTGTTTTTGTTTTTGTTGTCTGTGCCTTTGGTGTTATATCCAAGATATCATTGCCAAGACCATTGTCAAGAGGATTTTTTCCTATGTTATCTTTTAGGAGTTTTATATTTTTGGTCTCATGTTTAAGTCTTTAATCCATTTTAAGTTGGTGTGTGTGTGTGTGTGTGTGTGTGTGTGTGTGTGTGGTGTGAGATAAGGGTCTGATTTCATTCCTGTGCAAGTGGATATCCAATTTTCCCAGCATCATTTGTCAAAGAGACTATCTTTTCCTCGTTGTGTGGTTTTGGCAGCCTTGTTGAAGATTAATTTCTGGGCTCACAACTCTGTTCTGTTGGTCTATATCTGTCTTGATGATGGCACTATCTTGTTTTAATCACTGTAGTTTTGTTCTAACTGGGGTTTTTTTTTTTTTTTTTTTGAATCTTTAGGGTTTTCTCTATGTAAGATCATGTCATTTGCAAACAGATTAATTTACTTCTTACTTTACAACTTGGATGATTTTTATTTCTTTTTGTTGCCTAATTGGTCTGACTAGGACTTCTAGTATTCTGTTGAATGTAAGTGGCAAGAATGAACATCCGGCCTTGTTCCTGATCTTAAAGGAAAAGTTTTTTTTTTTTTTTTTGCCATTGAATATGATGTCAGCTATGGGCTTTCATAAATGACCTTTAATATATTACGATGAATACCTTCTGTACCCAGTTTGTTGAGAGTTTTAGTCATGAAAGTGTATTGAATTTTGTCAAATGGTTTTTCTGCATCTATTGAGATGATTACATGACTTTTATCCTTCATTTCATTAATGTGGCATATCACGTTAACTGATTTGCATATTTTGAACCACACACCACTCTTTATAGTTATAGTTTCCTAATTAAACAGACCATCAAAATTTACAGATTGCACTTAGCTGTGAGGTCTTTTTGGTTTGCCCTATTCTATAACAGTCTTCTAGGCTCCAAAAGCCCAATTTAAGATGGGTCAGTATTATCTAGTTTGCTATTGCTGGAACTGTTCTTCCGAAACAGTCTTTTAATTAGTTTCTTTACTTTCATTTGTTCCCCTATCATTTATTCTCCAGAATTATCTTTTAAAATCATGAATCAGATCATGCTGCTCTGATATATAAAAGCATTTGCTGAAGAGAATGTGTGGTCAGGAAGTGTTTTTTAAAAAACAGGAATATTATGCCATATTTATATATTGTGGAGAATTGCCCAGGAAAGAGGGAAAGAACAACTTGGAAGAGAAATTGAATACATTATAGGAGAGATGTTCTTGGGTAAGTGTGAAAGGACGGAATCAGGACATTGGCAGGAATTGCCCTTCAGAGCGTAGGTAGTCACCCTTAGTAACAGGAAAGAGTATATGGGCACACCTGCAGGTGGCTTGGGAAGTGTGGTGAGGGGAACCTGATGATGCTCTCTGCTAATTGTCACTATTTTCTCATCTGAGAGTGAGCTAAGAAGGAAGTGGTGGAGGATGTGGTGAGAGGAGACGGTATAAAA